GAGAGGGAGAGGGAGAGGGAGAGGGAGAGAGAGGTACTGGGAAGGCAGCTGATTCATATTGGACTGCTGATGCACACGGGTATAGTAGCCATTCTCTTGGGCCACCAATCAGCTCCCAAATCATGACACAGAGACTTACTATTAGTTATGAATGATCAGCCTTAGCTTATGCTCGTTTCTGGCTAGCTGTTTTTTCTTTAACTTAACCTGTTTCTTTTCATCTATGGTTTGCCTTGGGGCCTTTTACCTTTCTGTATGTCCTACCCTGTGTCTGCTGGCTGCTGGCTGCCTGGCTGGCCCTGGGTGTCTCCCTCTTTTCTCCTTCATTCTTCCCTCTCCTTCTCCCTTGTCTAGATTTCTCCTATTTATTCTCTCCACCCGCCAGCCCTGTTGATCCTTTCTCTGCCCAGCTATTGGCCATTCAGCTTTTTAATTAGACCAATCAGGTGCCTTAGGCAAGCAAAGTAAAACAGCAACACATCTTTTCTTAATAAAACAAATGCAGGGTAAACAAATGTAACACATCTTTACATCATTGACAAAGGCAACAGAAACAAATGTAACACACCTTCATATAGTGGAAGGCAGTCCTGGGATGTACCAAAAACCTAACTAAGTATGAGCTTGAGGAAGCCAGGGATTGACCCTGCAAGAAGCATTGCTCTATGGTTCCTGCCTTGAGTTCCTGCCCTGATTTCCCTCAATGATGGACTGTGACCTGAAAGTGTAAGATAAACAAACATTTTCTTCTCTGCCTTAGTTTCTATTGCTGTGACCATGACCATGGGGCAGGAGAGGTGGCTCAGTGATTAAGAGCACTGACTGTTCTTCCAGAGGACCTGGGTTCAACTTCCAGCACCCATATGGTAGCTCACAACTGTCTTTAGCTCTAGTTCCAGGGGAACCAACACCCATGGCAAAAACACCAATGCACATAAATAAATAAATTAAAAAACTTATAGAATGAAGTGTTTAATTGGGGCTTACAGTTCTAGAGGGATAGGAATCTATCCAGCAGGCAGGAAATGCTCACATCTTCATTCATAAACAGAAGGTAAAGAGCACACTGAGGTGCTGGGAGGCTTTTGAAAACTTAAGTCCGCTGGGCAGTGGTGGCACATGCCTTTAATTCCAGCACTCAGGAGGCAGAGGCAGGTGGATATCTGTGAGTTAGAGGCTAGCCTGGTCTACAAAGTGAGTTCCAGGAAAGGTACAAAGCTACAAAGAGAAACCCTGTCTCGAAAAAAAAAAAAAAAAAAAAAAAAAGAAAAAGAAAAAGAAAAAGAAAACTTAAGTCCACTCCCAGTAACACAACTCTTTCTCCAACAAGGCCACACCTCCTAATCATCCCCAAACAGCCAAATGGGGACCAAATATTCAAATGCCTGAGATTTATGGGGTCATCTCATTCAAACTACTGCTCTTCTCTAAATTATTCTTGGTCAGAGTGTTTTTACCACAGTGACAGAAGGCAATCAGAGCAGGGAGTGACTGTCCTGGTGGGCCCAGAACTAAAAAGGTCCCCCTCAAGAAACCAGGATAAAGCAGTCACCTTAGCTTAGAAAGCAAAGCAACAGAGTCCCCAAAGTCCATCCATTACTCAACTGTGGATGTAGCTCAGGGATAGAGAATATGCTTAGGACTTGAGTTTGATTTTCAGAACTGAATACCACCTCCACCATCAATAGATGTACATAAAACAACTCCCAAACACAAAATCTACCCTCTGGAAAGAAAGAATCATAAAAGGATTCCCTAATGATAAAAATGTTCTAGACTTAGTGGTGACATTTGCACATGGTACAATTTTGTGAATATGCTAAAAGCCATTGAGTGTGACACTTTAGAGGGATGGATTTTACAATATCCCATTAAAAGTGACTCCCATATGGACAGACATATGATAGATCAATGGAAGAAAATTGGGGATCCAGGAATTAAGTCATATCTTTATGACCAATTGATTTTTGACACATATCATTGGATTTAGGGTCTAATTGATAATCTATGATGATCTCATCCTAAGGCTATTAGCCTAATTACATCTGTGAAGACCTCTGTTACATTCATAGAGGTTTCTGAGAATTAGGACTTTTGGGAGGCCACCAATCAATCCATTATACCTGTCATTTTATAGATGAGGAACCGAGCCACTTGCTGAAGCAATAGAGATAGCAATAGGAGGGCAGAGGTATGAATCCAAGCAGTCTGTCTCCAAAGCCATGTTCTTACCACCAAGAAATGAAGGGATAAATCCAGATCAGATCTTTCCAGTTGCATGGTGAAAGATGAGCAGGAATAGAAGAGATATGCGACACACAGACAATCCAGAAGTTTCTAAGAAGATCTTGTTGATTAATGGTTTTTTTTTGTTGTTGTTGTTGTTTGGTTTTTCGAGACAGGATTTCTCTGTGTAACAGTCTTGACTGTCCTGGAACTCAATTTGTAGACCAGGCTGGCCTCAAACTCACTGAGATCCACCTGTCTCTGCTTCCCAAGTGCCGGATTAAAGGCATGTGCCACCACCACCTGGCTCTAAGAAGATTTTGGAAAGACCCTGAGGAAGTGTTAGTTCAAGAAGGTCTGAACTACACATCGACAAAATGAATGGAGAAATAAGTAACTAATATTACATCCCACCCCAGCCATTTATTCTTGCCCAGTCTTCTGTTGGGTTGACCAGATGGTCCTTTCAGGCTTTAGCTGACAAAACTTATTCACTTGGGGGCTGGGTCATGCCACCATGATGGATATGAGATATGTCATTAGAGATGCAGTTTAGAGACCTCTTATTCCCTACTCTTTCCCTGTACATATATTTAAGAAAAACTGGTAAAACAAACGAATCCCTAGCTGTGATCTGGTTTTTAGTATGTGTCTTAGCTATGGATGCTATAACAAAATACCACAACAGAATGGCTTAAAGACAACAAAAGTTTACTTCTGACAGTTGTGAAGGGTGGAATCAGGACAGCTAGTGGTGTAGGCTCTTGTTCAATCTGGGTTCAAAAGAAGGAGACTAAATGTCTGCTGAAGACATTAGTGAGAAAGATTTTCTTCTTACTTGTCCTTTTATTCTTTTCAGACCTTCAGCAGACTGGATGAGCCAACCACGTGGGGAGGGCACTTTGCCTTACTTGATCTGCCGATTCAAATGCTACTCACACCCAGAAATAGCCTTATAGACCCCTCATAAGAAATAGCATTCAACCAATCTGGGCTCCCTGTGGCCCAGGCAAGCTGACATATAAAATTAACCATTCCAAGTCAAAATGCATCTTAGTTGGCTTTAGTTGTCCTAGCAAAACACCTTAGACTGGTTTACACAACTGAACTTCATTTTCTCACAGCTCTGGAATCTGGAAATTGGCTATCAGGGAGGTGCTTAGGTTCTGACGAGTGCTCTATTCTGGGTCACAAATGGCTACCCATTCACTGTGTCTCCCTGGATGGCAGAGAGAGCACTTTGATGCCTTTCTTTTTTTCCTTTCTTTCTATTGTTGTACTGGGGATTGACTTTAGTTAACTTATTTCAGACAGGAAACCAAGGGTTACAGTCACAAAAGACATGGATTTTGGGGAAACACTGGGACTAAGAGGCAAATTTGAGGCCGTATAACTAGGTATATCCCTAGAGAAAGAACATTGGTGTGGAGTTCAACAGATCTAGGTTCACATGGTGGCTCTGCCATTTACTAACTCCGATACTTCAGCCATGTCACCAAACCCACTGAGCTCCTGTGTTGTCATCTGTGAAAAAGAATTATGAGACATACTCTAAGGGGTGTGTTTTGTTGACTTCCCAGCATTCTGGGAGCCTCCCTCATCCCTCTTTCCTTCCACCTCCTCCATCCTCCCTTTTCTCTCCAGGAGGAAATTCTTCAATTTGGAGGAAATAGCTACACAACATAAGAAAATAAGCTAGACTCAGAGTAAGTATTGCATGTTTTCTCTCATTTGGAACCTAGGCTAAGGAGTGGAGGCAGGAAAAGTCTCAGGAGGTAAAAATGAGCATGATGAATTCAAGACTCAAAAGATTCAGAAAGTTACAAGACTGACAAGGTCCCACCCCAGGGTTACAGAAACAGTAAACAGTTGCCAGGGAAGAGGAGACTTGTTGATGGAGTCGCCTGCAAGTGCTGTAGCATGCATGGATTTCATGAACTGTCATCCATGTTGGGGTGTGATGCAGTTGTCATGCTCCTATAAGTAACCTTGTGGGTGGTTTGAATGAAAGTGGCCCCCATAGGCTCATAGGGAGTGGCACTATGAGGAGGTCTGGCCTTATTGGAGTAGGTGTGGCCTTGTTGGAGGAAGTGTGTCACTGGGGGTTGGCTTTGAGGTTTCAGGTGCTCAAGTCAGGCCCACTGTGTCTCTCTCTTTCTGCTGCCTGCCAATCCAGATGTAGGACTCCCAGTTACCTCTCTAGCACCATGTCTGTCTGCATGCCACCATGCTCCTTGCCATGATGACAATGGACTAAACCTCTGAACTGTAAGCCAGCCCCAATTAAATGCTTTCTTTTATAATAGTTGCTGTGGTCATGGTGTCTCTTCATAGCAATAAAAACCTTAACTAAGACATCCACTTTGCTATTTTATATAGTTTTTTTTTGTATGTGATCTGTATTGAACAGTGAGAACTGAAATTATTACAAATAATTGAGCTGCTAGAATACATTTTTAATTCCCAAGATGACTTAATAAAATGTGATACTTTTTCTTCTTGTTAATTTAAGAACTAATTGTGTTATAATGCTGACCAGGTGTGACATACTGATTTCTCTTTAAAAATACTTTCAGGGGAGCTGATTATGAAAACATGAAGAGGATAATTTGCTTCTTTTAATATTCAAACTCAATTAATTTCGTGACTCAAACATACTGGGGTGAAAAGTTAGAATATTAAAGCTCCATTTGTTTAAGAAAGAAGTCTTTTTTTTCTTCTTCTCATCAGACTTCCCAATTGTTTGGGACATAAAAGTCTCTCTGAGTCAGTTAGATAACCTAGCAAAACGAATGAAAGCTTTTCCCCCAAACTTTGCTGCACCCATTAGGTGACAGACTGCTGCCTGGCAACAGCTGGCCACCCTGAGCCAGGAGGCAGTGGTGTAGCCAGTACTGACTGAACTTTTCTAGCACTTACATAAGTTTCTTCAATACAGTGAGGTAGGGATTTTTATTTCTCATGATTACAGATGTAACATGAGGGTTAGTGGATTGCTGTTAAGGCTTGAATGTGAAAAGTACTCTACAGGCTCATTTTAAGGGTCCAGGCCCTAGCTTGCAGTGACTATTTTGAGAGCCATGGAATGTTTAGGAGGTAGGGTCTGGCTAGGACAAATGAGCCTTTGAAGGTTACATCTACCCCTGGTTCTGTATTCTCCTGCTTTCTGGTCTATTACCATGTGAAGGAGGCACCACAGGACACTACAATGTTAAGATTATGAGGCACAACATCCAATGTCTGAACATGAGCAAAACCAGTGCAGAGGATTACTGTACCAGGATGATTCTTGACATTGATATGATTCATAATGCACCTAGGTGGCTCCTTATTGAGGTGATTGTTAGGAACACAGGGCTTTCTCAGACATGCTTTCCCTATGACATGAATGTTGAAGTTCTGCCATTAAATAAACATTCATCTCTCAAACACAGGCCACTCTTATCTCCTTGTTAAAACCCAAGGGCTCAATAATTGTAATGTGGATATGCATGCCTTTCCTGAGAGCAGGTTTTCAGTGGAGAGAGGGAACAAGCAGGAAGGACGGGCCCGTGTTATAGAATATTAAGATGTGTTGTTTTGTTTATGTTGCATTTGTTTAACCCTGTGAATCAGTGTTGCTGTGCCTGTCTAAAATACCTGGGAGTCTAATAAAGAACTGAACGGCCAATAGCCAGGCAGGAGAAAGGATAGGAGGGGCTGGCAGGCAGAGAGACTATATACAGGGAGAAATCTGAGAGATCTAGAAGTAGCCAGAGAAGGAGGAGGACTCCGGAGGCTAGCCATTCAGCTACACAGCAAGTCACAGAGTAAGAGTAAGATTTACAGAAGTAAGAAAATGGGATAAGCCCAGAGACAAAAGACAGATGGGTTAATTTAAAGTTAAGAAAAGCTGGCTAGCAAAAAGCCAAGCTAAGGGCAGGAATTTATAATTAAGAATAAGCCTCTGTCTGTGATTTATTTGGAAGCTGGGTGGCAGCCACCCCCAAAAGAGCAATAACAAACAGCAACAGGGCAGAGAAAGATGAGTCTCAGTGCAGGAGGAAGAGGGAAAAGGCAAGAGATGAAAACTGGGGGAATCTGAGTACCTGATCAACAAATTACCTCTTACCTACCTTGCTGAAGGATTGATTGAGACAAAAATTAGGCAGGCTTTTAAGGTTAATGAAAAATTTGAATTTAATAGAGAAAAATCCAGCATTAAAAGACCAAGTTTTCACCATAAGATAATCTACAAGGGGCTGGAGAGATGGCTCAGTGGTTAAGAGCACTGGTTGCTTTTCCAGAGGACCTGGGTCCAATTTCTAGCACCCACATGACAACTCAAAACCACCTGTGACTCCAGCTCCAGGGGATTCAATGCCATCTTCTGGCATCCATGGGCACCAGGCACTCAAGTGGTACACAGACATACATGCAGGCAAAATACCCATATGCATAAAATGAAAGAAAATTTAAAAATGTTAAAATTCTCTACAAACATAAGCCATAAATAGTTTGAAGAATAAGCCCCGATTCTGCTACCTCTTTGTTCCATGACCCTCATTAAGGTCACATGCACATCATTTTGCTTTTAATGTCAGGTCAGATGTGACAGGGAAGGCCGAGACTGAGAATTACCCTGGCTGCTGGGCAGATGATATTTTTGAAATGTTCTGAATCTCCTTGGATGATGTCTTCCCAGAGCTTATCCACACTGGGCATGCTTCAAACGAGGTTGACATGAAGCATCCTTCCAGGACTTCAGTTCCTACCAGTGTCTCTGGCCCTTATTGCTCACCTGTGAGCCAGCACGTGAGGATGGCTAGTGGAACAGTCTCTGTCCTTCTTAGTGTGCTTGCTCTGTCAGAGAGGTCTGTACAAGCTCCTTCTCCTATCCAGTCTTTCTCACCTCTGGGTGAAGCAGAAGGAGGAGGAAACAGTTTACATAATGGTGTGATCGCACTGATGCCTCAAGCTTATTTTTTCTCCAATTACCACATTTCTTGACAGCTAGTTTAGAAATTGTTACCGTCCCTCACTGCTCCCCCTCCCCACTTGAGAGCTTTCAGTTATAGATCCGAGTTCATCAGAACATTGCCTTAAAGGCCACATTTAAACAGGATGTCTCGTTACAAAACAGGGCGCCTTTTCACCAGTAACAGACTAGAGACAGAGATGCTTTCTTGGTGAAAGTCAACCAGAGATCCTAATGTTTGGAAAGTTCCTCACAACTGGAGGGGTGAAAGCCTTCTTGCAGGAGCCGGTTCAGACTGTGGCTCAGCTTGGGGGAACTACAGCAGGTCTATCTGCACAGCTGACCATGAGGAATGCCTAACCAAGTGATGACACCGTGTGGTCAGTGAAACTGGGGCCTCAACACTACCCCTCAGACTAGAGACAGCGGGCTATCATGACAAAGCAAAGCAGAGCGGCTCAACGCTAGAGAAAACCAGTCTTTTGCTGTGAACAGAACATGAGTTCAAGGGTTAGAAATGTTTGGGTTATGCACTTCGCCTTGCTAGTCACTGGCTAAATGAGCATGAGTACAATCTTAGGCTTCTCTGAACTCCAAGATCACCGTGCAGCTGGTATCCTGGCGATTGGACAAGATGCAATGGAATGGCTGAAGCAGGGTCTGGTGTAGAACTATATATCAGTACTTGAGTGAGAACGTGGGTTTTAAGATCAATTTCTGACACAGCATGGTGGTGCAGCCTAGGGAGGCAGAGGCAGATAGATTTCTGTGAGCTCTAGGCTAGCTTGGTCCACGTAGTAAGCTCCAGGCCACCCAGGGCTACATAGCATCTTTAAAAAGTAGGTTATCTCCTTGTATGGTTCCCATTCTCATCCAGTTCTTGATGGACTTGGCGTCCCCATACAATGTTACCATGCCATGCTCGTCACTTCTTAGTTCATGACTTTTATGTATTTTCTGAGACAGATTTTCATCAGGCTCAGGCTGCCTATCAACTTGCTATCTAGCCAAGGCTAGTTTTGAATGTCTGATCCTCCTGCCTCTGCCTCTTGAGTGCTGAGATTGTAAGTGTTTTATGTGCCACCAGTTTTACGTGGTGTTGAGGACAGAACCCAAGACCTTATTGCACATGATAGGCAATCACTCTTGCCAACTGAGCTATATCTCCATCCCCAGCTACTACTTACTTTATTATTTTAAACTATTTATCACTAGCTGGTTCTAACTTGTTTGGTCTTACCTCTCTTCACCCCCACTCCCTGTTCCCATCATACTTTGGCTGCTTTGAAATATTATTTCCAAAAGGGTATGAAGCACTCACTGTATTCTAAGCCTTTACTAAACATTGGATAACCACTAAAGAGCAAGACTTCATTTAAAAGACGTGGAGGCTTATGGCTCAGCTAATTTCTATTTGCTCATTCCAAAATCCTCAAACGTTTATACCATCATAGCTTTGCTAATGCTTCCCATTGCTTAACATGACTTACCACCTTCTCTTACCAGCCCAGTCTTATTTGTCTCCTACAGTGATAATTGTAGGCCAGCTCAGTTGTAGAATATTTCTTTCTGCATGTGTCTGTGTGCACAGTGCATGCACATGACTGTGAGGGTATGTGTGTCCGTATGTAGTAGGGGCCAGCAGAGGATGTCAGGCATCTCCCTCTATGGCTCCTCACCTTTGAGACAAGGTTTCTCATTGAACCACAAGTTTTCAGCAACGCTGGCTGGCCAGCAAGCTACTGGAATCTATTAGTCTCTACCTACTAATGCTGGAGTCACAGGCATGCTCAGTCATGCCTGGCTTTTTATGGGGGTCCTGGGACTTGAACTCAGGTCCTCATGCTTGCAGAGGACCCAGAGCTATCTCTTTCTTCCCTGGTATAATATTCTATAATATTCCATTATCTCTTCAGGCATAGTTCACTGTTCTTTGATTTTATAGAGCCCTGTATATAATTCTGCCGTGGCTCTTACTGTGTTGGCATGTCTGTGTCCATTTTTCTCTAGATTGAGAGCTCATGGTCAGGAGAATGGGAGAGACCCCATCTCATTTACCCAACTTGTTGAGATTTGTGTGCTGGGAACTCCAACACATGCTGAAGCTATGGGAGCTACAGTTCATGGCGCTGACTCAAGAAATTCATAGATATATATAAATTCAATGCAAACACACCATTGTTGTAGCAAATACCCACATCATTTCTCATTTGTCTATGTATTCCTACTTTCTATGGCCTTGTTATTTGACTTGATTTTAATTCTCTAACCAAAAATATCTCTCCTAACAGCTGACCACAAATGCCCAGATTTCACCATTCAAGTAAGTTTTCTTCCAATCTGTATTAATCAAGATTCCTTTGGTTGCAATTCAATTCAGTGTCAGCAAAAAGAGAACTTTATCAGCTAAGCAAGGCAATTTTGAACAGTGACAGTTTTTGAAGGCAGAGAAAGCTGGATTTCAGGAAGAAATGGCATCAGGCACTTATGTAGGATCCTTCTTCTCAGTGTGGTGATGTCATGAACCTAGCAAGCTAGCTTTCCTTGTACACTTCTTCTGGAAGCCGTGTGAATGCACCACTCAGATTTCCTTGAGATGCTTGTGAGAATGTGCCCAAGAACTGCAGCTACAGAGAGCTTTGTGGACAATACTGCCGAGGCTCATCACCAGCTGGTGTTTGTCCTTAGATTGTCTCCTATGTGCCCTGCAAGCCAGTGACCAGTGGGGCCAGTGGTACTAAGGCAGGAACGGTCCTGGAAAGCCAAGAAGGATCTGATGATTAGCATTGGCCTGAGACTCTAACAGCCTGCCAAACCTTCCTTGGATCGCAGAGTCGTCAATGATGCTGCTACCTGCTGTCTTTCACCTGTAATTAGATCTGCATTGTTGTCTAGTGATTCTCCCATCTTTCTCTGACTCCTTTCCCTAATTTTTTTTTGCACAGGTGATTGCTGTACAATAATCCTCTTGTACACTGTAAAGATTTGTTACTCTGATTGGTTTAATAAAATGCTGTTTGCCTGGTAACCAGGCAGGAATTATAGGCAGGACTACTAAACTAGGAGAATGATTGGAAGAAGAGTGTAGTCAGAGGAGATGCCAGCCAGCGGCTGAGGAAGCAGAATGTGTAGAAAATGAGGTAACAAGCCATGAGCCACATAGAGAAGCATAGATAAGAAATATAGGTTAATTTAAATGTAAGAGTTAGGTAGTAACAAGCCTAAGCTATCGGCTGATCATTTATAATACATATTAAGCCTCTGTGTCAGTTATTTGGGATTGGTGGTCAGGATTGGGAAAGAAACATCTGCCTACAGGTAATTAATATAATAAAACTTTGCATAGCTAGTCCTTAGTTTCTACTTCTTGGAGGACCAGGGTGCTAGATACCTTTGAGGGAGACTGCTGGAAGGAGTAGAGTGGACTGAAGAGCCCCTACCCTATCTGCATCCACAATAGTGCTTTGCTGAGGTCATACTACCTTAATATTGCTTCTATCCAATAAATGAATATCAGTATGTGAGTATAAAGGGGGTCCATTGCTGGCTCAATCTTTAATGGGCAACTTTGGTTCAGCAATTCCCGTAGACCTGGCCAGCACTTTCTTAGAACTTTGCTGCAGGCTGAGATTTCTCCTGGTCAACCCTCTTTCCTTTGCCCTTCTCTTTCAGGGGTACCAGTGCTAGACCTAACTCCTCAGTTGCCTCTTCATCCTCCCAGGGTGTTTTCCTTAGAAAACTACCTTGACATCCATACTCAAAAGACCTAAACTGACAAAGGTGATGAGTAGGGCTGTGAATAAGTCGAGCTCTTTCTTGCCTTATAGATTCTACTACCACAGACCAAGTCTTTATTCTAGCAAAGTATAAAGAAACCTCCCAAGGAAAGTCTGGCTTGGCCAAGGCATTAACTAATCATCATCAAGAGAGAAAGAGTCATTCCCATGACATGTGTGGCACTGTTGTATTACTGAGCATGTCCTTCCAGGCCAAATTTTATTGTTGTTTTCCGGGTTTAAGCTGGTTAAGACTGATGATTACTTTTCTCCTCTAGTAGCAAGTATAGCACCTTGGGTATTTGGGCAACATAGAATGGTCTTGATGAGAAAAAAAGGACACAAAGTTGGGTGGATGGGAAATGAAGGAGGGCTGAATCTAGGAAGTTTGGGGAGGAGAGTAAATATGATAAAAAACACACAGTACAAAATTTGCCAATAACTAACAGAGACAGAGTGTTAACAAGGCTGCCCGTAGTTGACAAAATGTTTCCAAATAGCTAGCAGAGAGGATTTCGTTTGTTTAGCTGTTTTGCTGTTTGGTTTGGGTACCGGGGATTGGCCCCAGGGTATCTTGCATACTAAACACGAAGTCTACCACTGAGCCATAAGCAGGCCGAGGGGGATCCGTGAGTGTTCTCATCACAAAGAAATGATAAGTTTGTGCACATACATCAAAAAGACCATGGGAAGATGGACATCTATAAGCTGAGAAGAGCAGTGGCCAATCCCACTTACACTTTAATCTCAGACTTCTGGCCTCCAGAGCTGTGAGAAAATAAGTTCTTGTCATTCAATCCTTAAATAAGAAAACGTGGTAGCTAAGTGGATACATTATTGAATAAACTAACCTAGAAAAGATTAGAAAAGAAACTGCAAGGTAGGTAATGGGATTTAAAAATGACGGGGTGTGGTTAGACCTACATATAACCCCATAGTGTGAGCATGGATGTCAGAGGACATTGTTAGTCCTTGACTTTGAAACAGGGTCTCTCCTGTTCATTGTTGTCTTTGCTAGGCTACCTGGCCTGTGAGCTCCTAGTGATCCTCCCGCCTCCACTTATGATCTCTTGGCTGTAGGCTGGGGCATGTTACAGATGCTTGCTTGTTCTACTGAATTTGGCTTTTATATTCTCTGAGGATCTGAACCAAGACCATCAGCCTTGTGTGGCAAGTGCTTTACGTACTGGGCCATCTCCCCATCCCAAAGACTGTCTATTAAAAACAATAGCAGCGATCATTATTACCATCATCATCATCACCCAAAGGGGGCCAGAGGGAGCAATGAAAGAACAGAGAGTCAGGATCTATTGGACAGGATAGAGTCAGGTAGCAGTAGGAAGCCACTAGTCTTGAGGATTGCCCAGGGTATCAGCTACTATTTATAGCTTGCTTTTAAGGTCTGGCAGGAACGTGATGAGTGGGTGGGATGGCTTTGTCAACAGGTCTAGGGGTGAATCAGTCAAGGCAGGGTGCAAAACGCATATACTGAGCTTTCTAAATGCAAACCAAATTGAGCCACAATTATAGATTAGTATATTTAGAACCGTAACGGAATTTTCCAGGAGCAGTCAGGGCCTGAGAGCTCTGTTCAAACCAACAAAAATCTGTTAATTCTTGGGTATCAGAGGCTTTGAGAGAAATACAGAAAATAATAGCAAAAGGGGACCTGAGGTTTTTATTTCTTACACATCTTCTGAGATAAAGGAGTGGCTTTGTGACAGAAAGGAAGCGCGGATGCAGCCTTACAATCAAGTTGGGAAAGTCAGAGGTCTAGCTTTCTGCTTGCTGGGGATACAGCTCAGTGGTCGAGTGTTTGCCTATGGTTGACAGCCACTAAGCCGTCACATCTGACATTTGAGCAGATGCAAGGTATCTTCATGTTCTTGCTTATGCCATACACTGCACTAAATACCTTTTCTGCATCATTTCTTCTGTGTGTGAGAGCACATGTGGGCAGCTGCAAGGACACATGCATACATGCATGTAGAGGCCACTGGTCAATCAATGTTGGGTATCTTCCTTGATTGATCTCCATGACCAAAGCAGCTCTCTAATAAAAGGAAGCATTTAATTGTGGTCTTACTTACAGTTTCAGAAGCTTAGTCCATTAACATCATGGTGAAGGGTGTATGGTGGCTTGCAGATAAGGGTTGGAGCAGTATCAGAGACTTTTACATCCTCTCTCTGCAGGGGGAGAGAGAGAGAGAGAGAGAGAGAGAGAGAGAGAGAGAGAGAGAATGGTCAGGGTAGCCTTTAGAAACCTCCAGGCCCACTTCCAGTGACATACTTCCTCCAATAAGGCCACACCTACTCTAAAAGGCCACACTTCCTAATCCTTCTCAAGTAGTGCCACTACCTGATGACTAGTATTCAAATATATGAGCCTGTGAGATCATTCTTATTCAAATTGCCACAGCCAGTGAGCTCTGGTTTACAGATATGTGCCATACTACCTGGCTTTAATATGGGTGCTGAGGATCCAAACTCACGTTTTCATGCTTATACAACATACATGTTACCCACTAAGCCATCTCCTCTGACCCTGTCCCTCACCATTTTAATCTCATGAAAAAAATTCCTGAGGTTATCATTATGATTAATTTTTCATTTCACAGATGAAGACACTGAATGTGACATAAGTGAAGTCAATTCTCATACCTAGTACAAAGTAGACTCTAGATCTTGAAAAATCAGTGACTACATAATTGCTCACTCCATATAAAGGTCCACATTCTAGTTTTAATTCCAAACTCTCTCAGCTACCACCTTTTTCTTTTCTTTTCTTTTCTTTTTTTTTTTTTTGAGACAGGTTTTCTCTGCATACTTTTGGTGCCTGTCCCGGATCTCGCTCTGTAGACCAGGCTGGCCTTGAACTTATAGAGATCCACCTGGCTATGCCTCCTGAGTGCTGGGATTAAAGGCATGCGCCACCACTGCCTGGCTCAGCTACCAACTTTTATTGTTTTTCCATGTATGTCTTGGATTTTTCACAGTTGTTTCAACTAGGGCCTTGGATTTAACTATTATTAAAAACCGTCTTTTGTTTGTTACCGTGGCTGATTGGTTTATAAACTAGGCAATATAGGCATATGCTGCAACATTTAGAATTTCACAAAAGAACACAGACATTTCCCCAGCTACCCAGTGGAACAGTCTGTTCTCTGTTGCTATTAACAAAATGCCAGAGGCTGGGTATTTATAAAGAAAGAAGGTTTATTTAGCTCAGTTATGGAGGTAGAACATTCCAGATTGGGCTGTCCCACCTGTTTAACTCTGGTGAGGACCTCATGGTGGATGGTCAAGCAAGAGGGACTCAGAGACCATGCTTGCTCTTGTAATTGCAACTTTTTTTTTTCAGGAAATTAATCAGGGCCCTTGTTGAAGTGTATTAATCTCTTCTGAAGGTTGAGCTCAATTCATCACCTGCACAGTGTCACACTGGAGACCAATGGCCACCACATTGACCTTTGGGGGAGGGGGGCAAACCACAGCATCTATTTCTCTCCTTATGTTGAGGTTTAACAGCCATTTGCACTCACGTCTTTTCATGCCCATTACCTAGTTTGCCTCTGCATTGTTATTTTTTTCTTAAAATTCTTAAACAGTTTTACTTTATCTTCATCAACATTATTAGTATTTGTATATGTGTAAGATGTGTTTGGGAGACGTGTATGTGCATATGTGAAAAGCAGAGGACACCTTGGTGGAGTCTACCCTCTCCTTTTACATTTACATCGTATCCTGGTTAGTTTTGTTGTTGTAGATTTAACACAGGTTAGGGTCACCCGAGAAGAGGGACCATAAATTGAGAATATGCCTCCCTAAGATTGGCCCATAGGCAAACCTGTGGAGCATTTACTTGATTGATGGTTGATGTGGGAGGGCCCAGCCCACTGTGGGCAGTGCCATTCCTGGACTGGTAGTCCTGGGGTTACATGGCTGAACCAGCCATGAAGAGCAAGCCAGGCGGCAGCACCCCTCCATGGCCTCTGCTTCAGTTCCTGTCTCCAGGTTCCTGCCCTGAGTTCCTGTCCTGACCTTCCTCAGTGATAAAGTAAGGCCTGAGAGTTGTAAGGTGAAATAAACCCTTTCCTCCCCAAGTTGCTTTTGGTCATGGTGCTTATCTCAGCAATAGAAACCATAATGCACATGTGGGTTCTGGGGATCAAATTCAGGTCCTCAGGCTTGCCCAGCAAGTGTGTCTACCCACTGAGCCATCTCACAGGTCCTTTTCTTTTTATCGAATGTAGAAACTCTTAGTATGTTAAGAAAACATGCCCTGTGCCTGTGGTATGGACTGGAAGTACTTTTCCAAATTTGTGTTCTGCTTTTTGGATTTTTGCTTGGTGAGACAGGGCTTCACCCTCCAGCCCAGGCTGGCCTAGAACTCACTACATGGTCCAAGCTGCCTTCAGACCTGGGGCAACTCTCCCACTTCAGCCTCCTGAGTTTTAGGATTCCCAGCATGAGCCATCATGCCTGGCTGCCTTTTGAATTTATGAAAGTTTTTGTTTTCAGGGAGAAATATAATCAGTCAGATTTATCAAATTTTGAATTTATGACTTTTGCAATTTATCACTCTTAAACAGCTATTTCTTATTCCAAGGTTATAAAATAAAATTTCTTATTTTCTTCTTCTGCTATTTTGGTTTTAATCCATCTGGAAATTTTCTGGCATAATATGTGAGAAATGGATCTAAGTGAAGTTCTTTCCAAGGAAACTGGCTTATTTCAATATATTTTGTTTTTATCATTTTGGCCTCACTGGTTTGAAAGGCATTATTTATTCCATACTAGATTTCTGGATACACTTGGGCTTGTTTCTGAGTTTTCTACTTATTGTTCTGTCTCTTAATATGTAAGCACCACAGTTGATACTGCTACAGCTTAATACCCATTCTAGCTGTGTAGAGACAACCTCTCTTTACTGATGATTTTCAGAAATCTTGTTATTCTGTCTTATTTCTTTCTATATGGATTTCAGACTCTTCCCAAGTTAGCCCTCTCCCCCAATCTGTTGGTCTATTTTATGTTTGACTGATTACATTTCCAAACTGATTTAGGAATCACAGAGGAATGACATCTTTATGATGCTGTATCTTCCCATCTAAGACCAGGATATACCTCTTTGCTGTTGTTCAAGGGTTCTTTGCTGTTCTTTAGTCATTTTTCCCCCAAATGAACTACCACACCTCCTGTTAACTTTACCAGTGGATAACCTATCTTTTTAACTGCTATTATAAATAATTTCTTCTTTCCTTCACATTTCATGAATGGATTTTGTTTTGGCGATGATTTAAAAAGCCTCATTCTGGCTATGTTGTCTTAGGATACCTTGGAAGACATCACATCTAATTTGCCTTGGGTTCCATTTCCTGTCCCTAGCTTGTTGGCAAAGTCCAGGTCCCTGGAGAGAGAGGTCTCCTGAGGGGTCTGGCTATAGAAGTGGCTTATCCATGCACCAACACACCTGCGAGGTTGATGCCATGTGCACTAAAACACGTGACTGAATCTCAGGCCTTTTAATACTCTCCAAGGTAATCATAGCAAGGCAGAAAATGTAAAAGTAAAACTTGCACTTCAGTCTAAGATTCTGTGGCTAGACTCGTCTTTGGTGTCCAGACAATTAGTCACCTTGAGGAGACTGAGGTGGCATTCAGTACATAAACACAAGGCACTATTTTCTTCTCAAATCACCAGAGCCAGAAAGATGCCTACTGCCCTACTCCAAGTAGAATCTGAGCTCTTAGGAAAACCCTTATAACTGTTCTGTATCTGGTATTAGGATTAATAAACATGAGCATTAGAATACACTGCTGATAAATAATTTTCTAAATTTTATTAAGATGAAAATTTATTGAAGAAGTTCAATAAACTTCAAATAGAACAAACACAGTAAGACCATACCAAATCAATCACACTGCTGTTCAGGGATAAAAAAACATACATGATAAAGAACAATAAATAGCAGAAGCAGGGGTCCTGGTTAGTTCTTTGTCAGCTCAACACAAGCTAGAGTCGAATGCGAAGAAGAAAAAAATGAACTGAAAATTGAAAAAGAAATGTTTTCCATCAGTGTGCCTGTAGAAGAATTTTATTGATTGTTAACTGACAGAGCAGGGCCCAGTCCACTGTGGGCAGTGCTACCCCCCAGGCAGGTGGTCCTGGGGTGTACATAAAATGAAATGGAGCAACCCAGAGAGAGCAAATCAGTCAGTAGCATTTTCCCATGGCCTCTGCTTCAGTTTCTGCTTTGATTTCCCTCAGTGATGAACTGTGGCATGGAAGCATGTAGCATGATTCTTAAAAGTTCTTATTAATAAAATCAAACCCGAGGCCAGTTATTGGGGTCCATGCTGGTAGATCAGAGAGACAGAACAAGCCACAGCTACCTCACCTTGCCGGATCCTCAGCTGGTCTTGTCTTCTCAGACTGGAGGCTTCTGAGTCCTCATCCAGAATGGCTCTCAGCTGAACTGCTGCTCAAAAGCCTGAATGCTTAACCAGGCCAAATGCTTCTAGTTTCTGGTCCTCACGCCTTATATACCTTTCTGCTTTCTACCACCACTCCCTGGGATTAAAGGCTTGCTTTCTGGGATTAAAGGCGTGATGAGTCACCATGCCTGGCTGTATCCTTGAACACATGGATTTTGCCTCTGGAATGCTAGGATTAAAGGCGTGTGCTACCACTGCCTATCCTTTGTGGGGCGTTTACCCACCACCCCCACAGTTCCCCAGAGTTTTCTTGAGTACAATCAGCAGGAAATATTAGATAGAAGGATTTATTGTGGAGAATATCGCGGAGATAAACAGATAGAAAATAAAGGATAGCCTCGAGAGGGCCTGGAACGTATTCCAACGAGCCCCGACTGTCTCTGGCCCAGGGTTTTTATAGAGACGCCAAGGGGTGGAGCAAAAGACCTCCTCCCCCAGCACAGCCAAGTGCAGACCATCTCAGACACCTGCACTCAGGCCCGTGGTCCTGATCATCCTCTATGCGGACCTGCTGGGTAAAGCCACAAGGAACCCGAGAACGGGCTCCCACAATTCTTTATGTTTAATATTGTGGCTGCTCTGTCTCTGACCCCAGATTAGTTTATTAGCATGTACAATATTTGGGGGAATACAATACCACAGAAGCATAAGCCAATTAACCCTTTCCTCCTGGAGTTGGTTTTAGTCAGGGT